CGTTGGTGTTTTTCACCGATCTTCAGCTGGAACGTGGTTGGGATGATCTGAGGAAAGGCCCTTCCAAGAGGAGCAACTGCTATCACATGTGGAGAGTCGAGAGCAACTTGCTGAGGCAAAGGTGATAGTAAAAGAAGCTGGGGAGAAGGGATGCTGAGAGCAGGGTGTAAAGGCTCAGAGGAAGAGGTCCCAGAAGGGCTCTGGAAGGAAGGAGGGAAAAGCTGTGGTGTCCTGTGAACTTGGGTGGTGGAGAGGAAGCTGCCATATGTCTCTTTAACCTCTCTTTATGTAGACTTGGAGTCTACAGAACTGGCCAGACAGGGTAAGGACAATGCGTCAGGTGGATGATGCTCTTGCTCATAGGTGTAGGCACTGCAGGAGAGGAACAGGCAGCAGGAACACATCTAACCCAGGGCAAGCAGCACCACACACTCATCTAAACCCATTGGCCAGTCCCACTGTCCCTAGTCAGAAGCAACAGCAGTTCAAGGGGAGGTGGTAATCCCAACGTGCTAGCAGAGAGACTGTGGCTAGGCCTGCCCACAGGCTGTGGCAGAGAGAGCTAATGCCACCACCACCCCTGCATCCCACCTGTGGACCAAACTTTACCCCCACAATAGCAGTGACCCCCATCTCTTCCCCGTGTCTCTGGGGGTGGCTAATCCCTCACCACCTGTCCCCGCAGGCTGACAGCATCTGGATGGAGATCAGAGATGATGACGACCTGCCCACAGCCGAGGAGCTGGAGGACTGGATAGAGGATGTGCTTTCTGGGAAGATAAATACTGAAGATGATGACGATGATGATGACGATGACGACGATGATGATGACGACGATGATGATGATGATGACGACGATGATGATGATGATGACGACGACGACGACTAACTGTGACTCTGTGCAGTTTGACTTGTGGGGGCTGAGAGGCCTCCCCTCGCAGCAGGTCCCTCCAACAGAAGACCTGTCTTTGAGCGTCAGCAAGCACCGCTGCTCGTCCTTCCCCCCTGCCCTGCTCCCCCTGCCCCTGCCCTTGCCGGGACCCCCCAGCCTGATTCTCAGTGGTGCTGAGCCACCGGGACTGCCCCTGCAGCCAGCAGCGCCTGCAGGCACCCAGCACCGCTGCAAATCATGCATCCTTAGTCAGGACAAGAGGAACCTACAGGGAATCTGCCCCCAAAGCCCCAGAGCAGGAGGAAAACACCCGCCTGCTCACTGCCAGAGGGACACAGGGAGCCAATTTGTATTTTCTGTGCTCATGTGCCCAGCCTTTGACATCCAAAGACCAAATCTCACTTCAAAACATAGGGAAGGCCACTGTAAAGTTTAGTCCTTTGATTAAACACAATGCCCTTTGCAGCTACTCTGCCAAGACCGCTCACTCCTGCAAGTTCTGCTGCAGGAGTCTGGAGCTGCTCGTTAACATGCTAGGAACAGCTAAAAGCTTTGGAAGGTTTTAGGGATGCTATTTAAGTTTCCAGTGATTCCATATAACAACAGGATATTCTTGTCTGGCAGCTCAATGCAAAGCCAAACGCCACGGTCCCTGTCTGAACCTCTTCTTGAAAGCTCAGGCCAAAGAAAGGGTAAGTGCAGGTGGTCTGATATTGGATATCAAAGCTTGCAAGTTCCTGAACAGCTGGAAAGGCTGATACAGGTCTGAGCCCAAACTCTTGAGGCTGAAGTTCATGGCACTGAGCCAAACCATTGGTCTTAACCCTGAAAGAAACACCAGAGCAGATCCCATGCCAGTTCCAAACATCTGCAGCCAGGTCTGGGCTGAGCCTACCTTGCCCTTCAGGTGAACCTCAGCTGGATAGAAGGTGATGCCCATGAGATAGACAGCATATTCCTGCCAGTGGAAACACTCGTAGGGGCCCACCCTGAAGCCCTCCTATTTCCCATGACCCTCCAGCTTTAGCTGACATTTAATCCAAAGCCTACATAGCATCTTTTCCCATGACAAAGATGTTGGGAGGGAACACATCCATCCAACCATCTTAGATGCTGGATAATGAGAGCTGGGCAATGGGCAGTGAAAGGATTCAAGCTGTTTGACTTTTAAGTGTTCAGTTGCACAGTTACTCCCTGCTTAGAGACTCATATGTCCCATGGTAGCCCACAAGAAACCTCTTTTGACTGCGGACTGAGAGGGAGCTCAGGGCGGTAGTTCACAGTCAAAGGGGTCACTCACAAAGCAAAGGGTCAACAACTTGGTCCTGGTGAGCGCAGCACCATCCATGTGCAGGTCACTGCGACAGTGTTAGGTCTCCCTGCTTCCCCATGCTGGCAGATTTCAGTTGTCTTAGCTTATTAGGTTTGACAATAGTGCAATGAATGGAGAGTTTGGAGAGAGTTTTATCTTTATAAATACATTTATAAATACGTTCTCCAGTCGTTCGGACTTGTGAGCATAGGTAGGGTACACACGTCCTCCCTTGCTATAGACAAAAAGCATTGTTCTGACCTTTCTTAGACTGGCTTACATCAGAGGTAAGCGATGTTGGGGGAAATAACAGTGCCAGGGATGGGAGAATCAGAGCTCGTTATATGAATGCGAATCAGCCTGATGAGAAGCAAGGTTTACACACTATATATTTCCTTTATCAGATGAACTGCAAAGCAAGATTTTATAGATTTTTTTTTTTCCTGCCTGTTGATCAGTCTCTTTGACTCTCCCTCTCTCTACATTAGCTGAAATAGAAATTTGAAACTACTGGTATAAAAAAGCTGAAGTACTGATATATTCCTACGTGTGCCATATCCCCTTGGTGGAAAGTGCCAGATGAACAATACGCAGCTGGATATCTATATATACCTCTATGTATATGAATGAATACTGTGCTCATATGCTATATGACCATAGGCTACGTTAGCTTCTCATTGAACATCCAACACTCAACCAATGCTTTCCAGGTACAGCTTATTAGAATAGAGAGCACAGCAAAGCCCCTAGGTCGGCTATTGTCTTATATACTTGGTCTTTCTTGCTTCTTTATGATGGATAAGCACTTCCTGGAAGATTTGAACCAGGTGAGTTTGGGGAGACCATCCACCTGGTCACACTGTAGTTGTGGACAAGGCAACCCCATCCCAGAGGACCTGGTGGAGACTTTGAGAAGGCTCAAAATACAGAGTCCTCTCAGCCTGGAGGTCCCCTCCACTTCTTCACACACAGAGGTTTGCTGGAGGACCCCAGCTCAGAGAGAGGGAGCAAGCAAGACTCCAGGTCTCACTGATGCACCCCGGAAAGAAGCAAGAGCAGGCAAAGCTAGCAGTTTAGTCTCCAAGTCTGCGATTAAGGGACAAACGACACATTACTCACTGCAGCAAAGTACTTGTTTATCTTTACCTTGAGGTTATTCCTAGGAGTAAAACACGCACAGTTCCACCCTTCATAAGGTAACAGCCAGCACAGACCCTACAGCTCCAGATCAGTCACTGCAAAGTGCCAGGAATTTCTAGAAATGTGAAGAATAAATGCAAAGTTGCTCTACTGCCTTTCCCAACTGGCACTGTCTCTGGACATCTCGATTGCCTGGGTACTCTCCATGGACCTCCCCTCCCGCTGAGGATGCCTGTCCATTCTGATGTGCCTCTCTCTAGATGCTCCGTGAGGCACAGCTTGCACAGGCAGACCCTGCAAACAGCACTATGGACACACTCAAGCGCTCAGGTGTCTCACGGGCACATACACATTTTGATGCATCAAGCATCAGAGCTCTGGGAGGGGAAAAAAGTCATTAATGTAGCAGTGCTTAGGCTTATGCAGAGACCAGTGAGGCTGAGCTCGTACTGGGGCTGGTGTCAGCAGTTTATGGAAAGTTTCCTTTGAGTTATGAGAGAATCCTATGGCTGCCACACCTTCACGGTGCCAGCGCAGTCTGTGATGGGGCCACCCTTTCCTTCATCTTCCCCTTATGGTTTTCATGGTTCTCTTTGCTCACAAACATGAACTTTTTCTCTTCAGTTTATGGGATAAATGCATAAACAGTTAAAAAACCATTGTGGCAGAGGGAGGATTGCAGCAATGAAGAGCAGGCAGCAAAGCCTCTCCCATTCACCCATAACTCCTCATCTGCCTTGAGATCATAGTGACCAAACCACCAAACAAGGTAATACCCCTTACAAAGAAGACAGCAGCTTGAATTTGAGTGTCTTCCTTACAGAGACAGGTAAGATACCAGCATGTGGAGGTACCACACATAGGAAGGACCCCATGTGCAGGTGCTCCTGGGCTTCTCTGTCAGAAGCAGGTACAACTGGCATGTCAAAGGCACAGGTAACCTTTGAGGAGCAAAGTCAGCCTAACTGTGCTAATTATGCACTCAACAGCAGGAGGTCAGTACATTTGGATAAGGAACCAGCCAAAAAACTTCTTTATTTATTAAAAAAAAAAAAACAAACCAAAAACCCAACCAAACAAAAAAGGGTGCATGTGGACAACAAACAGTGAGTGTTTCTGCAGGCAACTCTGGTAGTCCCTCTCTTAGCAAATAGTTCTTTTTCTCCAAAGTGTTAATTAGACATTCATATTAAATGGGTCTTAATACACATAAAGACAGACAAGGAACTGTACTTTGCCCTCATCCAACTGTGAGTGCTTCAAGCTGATCAGTCACTTCAAAGTACCCAAAACACCTAGCCTTACTAGCCGCCAGCAACGGTGATGACCCCCCTCACAAGCGAAACGTGGCAAGAACATGAATTCATATGCCACCTCTTCCCAGTTCCCAGAGACGGGGACAGGGGCCACAGAGGAGGGTTTGTTCAGTGTCCTGTACCACAGGCCACCCCATGCCATTCATGGGCAACGATCAAGGGAGAGGGAAACCCATCAAGAGCCATATACTGCAGCTGTCGTACAGAAGCAGAGAGGAGAAAGGTTCTGCCTTTGCAGCAGACCCAAGGACACTGATGGAGAGGCTCTGGGAACCAGTAACTGCTCTGAGCTAATGTCAACCCTTTGGGAAACAGCTCCAGAAGGAGAGGATGAGGGAGGCATGCTGGGAGTGACTGATTACTCCATCTTTTCAGCGTCAGCAGCTTTCATGATGTTTCTGAGCAGTGGTGAGAAGAATGGCCCTGTAGTTGACACCAGAGATCTCAGCTGCTTCACGTCCCAGAGCAGAGCTGCTCAGCCAGATGTCAAAATGCATGCACAGCCGAGGACACCGGCTGCTTCTCTATGTCTGTCCACACATCATACTACAGAAATGATTGATTTATTACTGAGACCAAACAAAAAACATCATTGCATTTTATTCCCAGAGAAATAATTAATTGGACGGGAACATCCCACTTCCCAGCTGCCGCTGACTTGCAGTGCTGTGAAAACAGGCCAGGGCTGCATCTAGATTCTCCTCTGCCCCAGCAAAGCTTTGGCTCTGGGGAAGCCCCACGCACAGCCAGTTGCACACTGATGCTTGGGGAGCTGAAGAGCGAGAATGGTTCACCAGGTGACAACCACCAACACCATCCAGGGCAATGCAAACTACCTCCTGGCTCCTGTTCATCCCAGGTATGTCTATGCTGTGCAGTGCAAGGCTGTCTGCTAGAAACTGGAAGCAGCAGAGCACAGCAGGAGGGTAATTAACCTTGTTAATGATGCTGTGTCAGCAGGACTGTGTCCTACTCGAGACCCAAGACTCTGTGCAGCACCCCACTGTGCTGCAGCATCCCCTGCCTTTGCCCCGCTCCCTTGTACCACCAACATCCGGGCAAAGCAGCCCTCCAAAGGTCAGTAGCCCTTGGGCCCAGCAGTGGGATGGCTTTCACACTTGTTTGGCAGAAGATGATGTCTAATGACAATGTGGACCATGGGGCAGAGTCCAGGGCAGATCCAGCCCTCTTGGCCCTGCTCCCAGAATGCTCCCTGCCAGGTTTGAAAGGTGCTAAACTATTTAAAGTGTGTCTGCGAGGGAGCTATGGAACTTCCTTGCCCTTTGAAGACCCATTTCTGGAGTCAGATTACAAGCAGCTTTTGGGATGGAAACAAAGATCCTTCCGGTGTCTCACCTCACCTCCCCTTTCCACTTCCCCCTCAAAACATCTCTGGTGGAACCCCTATGATGAAGGACATCAGCAAAGCCCTCAAAGGACTTCTGGTATTATCCCAATTATATGGACAATAGGAAGAAAACATAGCTTTTTCACCTTCTTCTCATCCCTCTTGACTTACTACTCTTCTGGTCTTTACTGGCTCCCCTAATTTTTCTGCTGTGTCCCTTTCTATCTAGCCTGTATCCCTCTTCTCTCAACCCACCCTCACACCACATGGTACTGAGGGTCAATTAAGGACAAGGTCCTCCCCTGTCTTGGCTGCTTGAGCTCATCCCCAGCCCAGGGAGACAGCAGCCTCCCTCACACCGCTGCCAGGAGCCAGCCATGGTGGTCCCCACGCCATGAGCTGTGGCTGTGAACATGGAGAGGGACATTTCCTTCTTGAGGAGAAAGCCAACCAGACAAGGAGAGATTGGCTTTCCTTTGGAGGTGGGGACAAGTGGAATATGCTCCAGGTTAAGCTGTTTCATCAGTCTGGCCACCATGGAAATACATGGACTTCTTTTGGGTGGGCATCTTTTCTCATTGTCCCAAAATCCAGATGAAAA